GACAGCAGCATGCCTCTGGATGCGAATGCAAAAAAGAAGAAAGTTTGCTTCTTGATGCGCGACCACGGGAGTTGCAAGCACGGAGACCGGTGCGAGTACAGCCACGAAAAGAGCCTTGTGGAAGCTGAAAGAAAGAAAAAGAAGGAAGCTGACAAGGCTAAAGGGAACGACAGCGCTGCCGCGAGTTCTTCCAAAGGTAAGGGAAAGAAGGACAAGGACAAGGACAAAGACAAAAAGGGCAAAGGAAAGGGTGACCGGAAGGAGGCCTGCAAGTTTTGGCTGACAGTTCGAGGGTGTGACAAAGGGGATGCCTGCCCGCACAAGCACGACAAGGGAGCCAAGCAGAGGTTCCTGGCGGAAATTGCTAAGGCAAAGGGGACTGGTGTTCCTGGAGTGCAGCTGGCTACGACCGACGGGCCTACAGGAGTGGGTTCCTCGGCCATGGCTTGCGAGAACCCGTTTGTCTGTTTCGAGTCTGTGCCGTTGGAGGGCGGGCAGCAGAGGAGCGTTCCTGCCCCTGCTGCCGCTGACTCCATCGCGCGCGCTCAGCCTACGCCAGCTCCGAAGGAGAAGAACAAGAGGAAAGACAAGGCGAAGGCGGGAAGCGACGTAGCAAAGGAGGACTTCAACAGCATAGATGACTTGCCGAAGAGTTGGTTTGTGGACACGCCGAACTCTCGGGGTGGCTACCAGTACAAGACGGAGGTGGAAATCTTCGGAAGGAAAGTGGCCTGCATGCTGGACACCTGCGCAGGGTGCAACTCGGTGACTGAAGATATGGTCGTTGGAATGATCAGAGTCGCCTTGAAAGCTGGGGTTCGCCCGAGCAGCACGGAGTTTCCTGTGGCCGCTCTGGAGCGATGGGAGGTCCCAGAGGTGGTGAACGGCCTGGCGAAAGACGCGCCGCTCCCGTTGAAAGGAGGAGTGGTGTTGCGAGTACGTCTGGTAGACAAGCGTCAGGGCAAGAAGTTCCGGGATATCTTGGTGCGTGCCAAGATCCTGGGACGAGGTTCGTCCACTTGGCATGGGTTAATCCTAGGAGGAAGGGCCTTGGACTCCGCGGACAGAGGAGGTCTAGGGTTCCACCCAGGAGCTACTGCGCACGTGTTGGAAGGTGTGGATATCCACCTGCCGCGCATGGAGGAGACGGAGTCCTTTACGGACAAGGCGTATCTTTATGTGGCGCAGATGGTGACGCACTACGACCAGGTCTGGAGTGCGTGCCCTAAGGCAGAAAAGGAAGGCGCGAGCGAAGAGGCTGGTCCGAAAGGGCTAGGCCTCATCGCCTCGCAGAGCCTGTCTGTTGATGCTGGGGACGTTGGGGACTTGGGCGGAGGTGGAGCTGGAAGCAGCGACCGAAGGCTTGGAGGAGAGTCCCGGGGAGAGGCAGGTGTGGTGTTGCCCATCCTCCTCCCGGGAGCAGAGTTTGAAGCTACTCCGGGGCTTTGGGCGTTGGGCTCTGAGAAAGGCTTCGTGTTCCTGGAGGCTACGAAGGATCAGGGGTTCGAGGTAGAAGCAGGCATGCCGGTTGCGGTGGTCTCTCCGGGGGTCGCAGTGCAGACGGCGTGCAGTGTCTGCGGAGCAGTGACTGCTGAAGCCTGGACGTACCCGGAGCTTTGCCCGCACGGCAAGGCTTGGTGTCCAGACGCGGACCCAAGATGTGAGCACTGTAGGAGCGAAGCAGTGAAGCTGGTGAAGGGAGGGTGCCCGCAATGCGCGGCGGCTTCCGGTGCGTCGAGTTCGCGCCCCTGGGTGACCGTTTGGCCGCAATTTAGGTGGCCATAGGCCGCACGGCCAAAACGCCATGAAAAAAAGCATTGGCCGTGAAATTCCAAAAGGCCACGAAAGGGGGGTGTGAATTCACACGGCCCGGAAAATTCACAAAATTTCACGGTTGTGAATTTTATAGTGTGTGAACCAAGGGTCTGTGAAGTTTCGTTCTGCGCTCGGGGGGCTGCTTTTAAGCAAAAACTGTCTTTTTCACGTCTACGCTGCGTGGTCGTACGCTTCACGCCCCTACGGGGGCTATAATATACGACCACACAAACCAAGACTGCCAAACGGACGGTTGGCTCGAAATATCTACGGCTCAGCGACTATTATTTTGGCTCCAAAGAAATCAAGACAATTCTGATTTCGGTAGACGGTACTAGAGCTATTATTGTGGCTCAAATTAAAGACAGACAGACTTCGGAATTTCGGTTCGTATGATGAGAAAAAATAAGAAAGATGTTCAGAGCCTCAAATCTAATGCCATATATATAGGGCATTCGATTGAGGCTCTGGCTGTATATGTTACAGATAACCCTATAAGCCCTAAACTCAATTATATTCTTACTCCTATATAATATTTTTCGATGCGATATACAAAGCCGGAGGGGCAGCATATTCGCAAAGCATGCGCAGGACCGACTGCGGATTGAGACATGCTGCCTGGCTTTCTGCACTTAATTTCGCCCGCAAAGCCGCTGGGGCGCATATGGCTCATATGTACGTACATCCAAGACACTCTAGGCACAGTCAGATCAGCTGTGCTACGCCTTCAGGATTTTTTGCTTACGTATATATACGTACCGAATATGTATACACATACACATAATGCAAGTAATTACGTACACACACACGAATTAATGCGGATATGTGTGTGCTTGTAATAACTGTGTAGATCCTGACACTGAAGTCTGAAGTGTCCATCTTCTATGACGCATCAGCTTTACGTAAAGGTTTACGGGTCCTATTTAGGGATGTGAAGATTAGTTAGTGTAGCTTGCGAGCTCGTCGGTGACAATGGGCATGGCGGTCGGCCTGCAGACGGGGGACGTGCCCCAATGGGCCGGGTTTGTTTAATTAGGGCTATTGAGGATATAGGGGAGACGGATTTCGAACGTAGGGTGCTCCCGAGGTTAATATTGACTTTGCATATCAGGGAATTATAGACTTGAACAGTATATCCTGTAGGCTTTGAAGGTTAGGATCGAGACGAGCCCTAGGTACATGGACAATATACGTAGACACCTTCGATCAGATTGAGCTCAGCAAGACGGGGTTGTCCGATCAACAATTGTGTATGTATAGCTGCCAGAAGCATAGGCTGAGGTTTGGGTGTAGGGCCAATATGTATGTGTCGAGTTGAAGCCTACTGGAGCCCGCAAGACTTCAAGTTTTGTCTGAGGGTGTATCCTATAATTGAATATAATTCCAAACCCGAATTAGTTCAATTCCTAAGTCCTAGATGCAACCAGTATAAATAAAATCTGCCCCCGTAGCCTACACTCTCAACTTAACAGGACCTGATATTATCAAACTTCCTAAGCTCACAAAGCCTGATATTCAAACATATAACCCAACGCCGCCCCACCCGCAACGACAGAACGTCCTACTAGGAACTATGGCTAAGGGTACAGGGGAATCAGAATATACGCCATCGCAAAAGGTACATGGCGACGTTGATCGATCTCGCCACTCTGGTGCCACAGGGTGCTCCCAGCCCTTTTGCTCATGCAGCCAGACTCTGAACTGATCGAGCAAATTCAGTTAAGCCGGAGTTGCTGTAAATGCTCACGCAGAGTTTGCTGGAAGTATGCAGGGCCTACGTGTTGCATGTCAGGCGACCGAACTCTGCAGATCGGGCCCAGAAATTGTGCCGTTGTTGGATTTCCTGCTGCATTCGAAGCAGGGTTACAACATTGTGAATCACATATCAGAATCCACCAACTCGAGAAGATTATGAGGGGTTGCAAACACTTCGAAAGCCCGAACCCCCGCACCACTGCTTTAAGCTGAAAGCCTCGAAATCATGACTTCGGAAAAAATGGTGGAAGCTGTGGCGGCCTGCTTCGGGAAGGAGCCACGCTTGAAGGAGGCTGGACCGATCCTGCATCTAGTGATAAATCGTAAGTCTCTAATAGATATAAGCATGCATATATATATATATACAAATATAAAATATACATATACATGTAAATATAGATATAAATATGAGTAGGAACATGAATATGAATATAAGTATAAATATACATACTATATACACATATACATATGTATATATATATATGCACACACATATACGTACTTAATACACACACACATGCACACATACATACATGCATGCATGCATGAGTGCATGAATACATGCATACACACATGCAGACATGTACACAACCGTAAATACATCTACATACACAAATTCACACACACACACGCATATATACTTACCTTTATATTACATCTATACGTACATACATACATACATACATACATACCTACGTACATAGGTCATACATACATACATACATACATACATACATGTGTACACACACACACATACATACATACCTACTTACATACATACATACATACATACATACATACATTACATACATACATACATACATACATTCCCCAAACCTACATTCCCCAAAACATTCATCCACCGCTCCGTTCACGCATGCATGTACATGTACATACACGCACACATGCACGAGGACTCAGCTTTTACATAAGTTGAGCTGGCTTAGGCTGAAGCATGCACACACACACACCATACACATGCGCATACCCAAACCCGGCAGGTGGGGCTTGGCTTCTTGTGTGACCATTCGGGCAAGCTCTTCACGAAGCGACCGAGCCTGAAAGATGTGCGATGCAATCAGGATGTGCTTGGCTTGCATAGAAGTGTGTGTGCATACAATCCATTTCAGATCTAAACATTTAGACCTACGTTTGGGGACCCAATAATTCTGAGGCTGTCTTTGCAGTGGTCAAGGCCACAAATGGGGCGGCCCGCTTGAGTGCCTACATGCTTCGCGATGCCATCCTTCGGTTTTACACCATTAACAACTTGTTTCCGGCTGGGCTATGTGCAGAAGCTGAGTGTACAAAAACTTGGGCTCTGAAGCATGGCAATGCCTTGAAGAAGCTAGCGGCTCTGCTTATAGTATCGTGCCATTCGATCAGTGTGTTTTCAGGGAATACTTAAGAAGTGATGTGTGCTCGCTCAGGTTGGCCGCACCCGTCGCATATGCAAGAGGGCCAGGACTTCCAAGGACCGCAAGCTGAACCCTTTGAGGCGACGAATCGCTGGTTTGGGAATAGCTAGCTTGGTACCTTGTCATGAACTTAGATGTACCCTGATTGAGTGATGGTTGCGATGTTTGAACCTTGTTGCATCTAAGGTATGCAAGGACAAGAATGATCGCGATGATGAAGATGATGACTTGGGTGATGGTGTGCCTGCTAGCACTTCGGGGCTTAAGATGCTTTCCTTCGAGACCTTGTCTATGGCTTCGGGATCCAGCAGCTCCTCATCCGCCACGCTGTCCAGTGGCAGCCTGTCAAGGAGTGATTCCGAGGTGAGTCGTTTGGCTTCGCAGCTACAGGGACTTCGTTTGGTTGGCAAGAAGGACTCTGCGGTTTCCAATGTCACGACTACAGCAAGCTTGCGTGATTTTGATCGAAAGCCAAATGCTGTAGCCAAGCCTACGGACTCGAAAGAGCTTCCTGCTAATCCCGGAAAGATCTTGGCTTCCAGTGTTTCTCAGCTGCTATGTTCTGTGCGCATATATGCTCGTTCGTGAATCAACATTTAGCCAGCGATCTTCGAATCTCAGGTTTTCGCTGAGCTTGCTGCAGCACTGCCTGTCGAAGCTTCCAAAGGCTTCCCCTTGAGCAAGCAGTATGCAGGGGCCTTCGCCGCTGGGGATGACGATGATCATCATTCCGAGGCACCTGAGGTTGCTGAGCCGGTGTGTAAGAAGGCCAGATGGGTGCCCGCAAAGAATGATGAGAAACCGAAGAGCGAGTCAGGTTCCAAAAAAACGGGGCCCACAAAGGATGATGAGAATCCGAAGAGCAAGGCAGGTTCCAAAAAAACGGGGCCCAACACGAAGAAACCTTCAGCTTCCGAAGATGCACCACTTGACCCAGACTTCGAGCCTTACCTCCCGAACCTCTACAGTGAGAAGCGGTTGGCTTTCATCGATGCTAATGCTGTGCAGTACGGTAAAAGGGAGGCGGCCAAGATGTGGAACACGTCGCTTCAGAAGGCTAAGATGCTGGCGGGTGTGGGCTTACGGGAGCTTAAGAAGAGGAAGTTCGTGCCGAAGGACACTGCCGAAAATCCGTTTGTCAAGATCGTCAAGCAGGCAAAGCTTGCAGCAGCGGGCGGGGCATGATTTTCCGCGAAACATACCCATACATGCCATGGCCTGGCTGCTGTATTGGTTACATGTAACAGCCTCCTATATAGCTAGCAGCTAGCTAGCACAGGATCATACAGCTTCTTGTCATAGTTGTTTCGACTCCTGGCCTGGGCTGCAATGGGTGGTAATTGGCTGTGCCTTAATTATGGGCTTCTGCTGCAGGTGGGCACGTTTAAACGTGTTTTCGCACGCAATCGGCTCAACTTGCACTCTGTGGGTGAAAGACTGTCCTTCGAGTGAGCACACAGTGCATGTCCGGAAATCGCAAGTGACTTCCTGTGTTGCTTGCAAGCGACATATTGTGCTTCACTTCGAGCTTGCTTGTGTGCTTCATGGATCTAGACTTAGCTTAGCCTTGGGAGCCGGTGATTTGCTGAGGGCCTCCTCGGTAGTTGTGACCATATGGTTGTGTCTGAGCTGCACGCGATGCGGGCACCGCCCATCCTTATGCTTATCGTCATCATGCTGATGTGGTACCCTCGTGCGGAATGTGTTCAGGACCACAAGCATTAAAACCGCATCATCAGCCTCTGTCTCTGTGTGTGTGTGTGTCGGTGTGATGCAGTCTTATATTTGGAGGACCGGGACTTCGTCGAGCTCTTTTGTGGGAAGATGGAGATATCTGCCGCACTGCGGCGTGCAACTCGATCAAACTTAAACCGCTCTTGAGGTTATTAACCTATGCCCGCAGCCCGAACAACCCACTTAGCACAGGCAGGACTCCGCGGCACCTCCCTCGACATCGAGCTGGATGCACGGACAATGGATTTCCTGAAGCCGGCGGGCTTTCTGCTGCTTCTGTTGCAAATATTATAGTTGGATGCACACGACCATTGTAGCAGCAGTGTTGTGATCGTTCAAAGTCGAAATAAAGAGGACTTTATGTGTTACACAGCTATCATGCATGTATCAGTATCTAGATAGAACTCCACTGCCTAGAGAGCATAGCATATGTGAGTAAGATCGAAACATTAAGAACATGTCCTTAAATGGAGTTGTACTGTATTGTAACACTGAAGCCGTACCTTTTATATCGTCGTCATGTAGTGTACGACAATTGTAAAGAATACCGAACTAATGTAATACATTGATTCACTAGAAATTAAGTGTGTCTGATGCCGATCTTTAAATTATCAATTAAGTACTTAATCTAGCAACATGGAACCATACTAGACTATAGCTATAGCCTCGTCATTTCCGCTAGCTTCGATTATAATGGCCTATATGCACTACATGATTTCCGAAAGTATATCACCTATCCATTGGACTAGGTTTTATACAACACACTTCCGGCTTATCTAAGTCTGGCCCTCCTGGAAATCCTGCGCTGCCGGCCGGGCGGTTTGGTGTGGTTTGGACTGGACTGCAGAAGCTTCACCACCATGCATATTGATTGCAAAGTTAGTAGGATTCTTGTGAGTCATTGTCATTGTACTAGCTACTGAATCTTGTATTTGAGGTGCCGCTACACGTCTGGGCGATCATGTCTTCGACCCTATGGAAATGATGAATTTCCATTTGTCGCTGAGGGCAATGTGCTTTCAAGCAGGCTTGTTTTGCTGATCTTTGTGTGCCAACTTCGGGGCCTTCGATGGGTGGTGGAGCAGCCTGCTCGATCTTTCCTCCCTACTATGCCTCGATTTCAAGAGATGTTGTGTTCCCTGAAGGCTTTGGGTTTCTTAAAGTATGTGGGCCTTGAGCGATATCGATAGAGCCGGCTTAAGCTTGCACCCTGGGAGGTCTGGACTGGAGGCTTCTGGATGGGTATGTTCGGTGGGACAAGTGCCAAACGACATACACTTTGGAGCGACAAAAATGGTGTGAAGCGGAGAATTGCCAAAAGAGATGAACTGAAGGCTTCCCAGATTCTCGACCATCAATTAATTATAGCAAAATTACACTTATAGACCCGCTCAGGCTCAGACCGTCACAGTACAGCTTCGATCTGATCTAAGGAGCTACACGAGGGGCTTTGCTGAATTCCTGGCTGGTATCTTCCTGGAGCTCCGGTCGGTACCATCACTGCATCGCTATATCTAGAGCATGACATATCATATTGAAATCCCAGTATATTAGACATTGCACATAACCTCGAACCTATCTGAGGAGCCCTTCTTTCCTGAGAACCACCGGCCGGGATTGGGATCTGATGCTCTGCGGAAATCCGACTACGAGCTCTTCGTGCAGGAGTGCTTGTCGGAGCACAGCATTAAAGGATTGGGGGATCTGTTGTCTGATGTTGCTTAATTGAATTTGGGGTCTCGGCGGCTTCCTGCTTTAGTTCCAATCGCAGAAGCTTATCGATCGCCCCAATCCGAGGCTCAAGCCGTCGACGTGCTATTGTACATCTCGAAATCCAAATCCCTGCAGCTTCCTGGAAACTGGGTATCCTGGCTTCTATATCCTAGACCCTATACCCCTAAACCCTAAACCCTCAACCCCTCTATATTTGCATACGAGAACCCCAATAACTGCAAACGCAGCTCCAGCTGGGATCCCAGGCCAATGTGCTCCAGATGGTTGGCTTGGATGGCTGAACCTGGGCTTTTAGTCTAATTAGAGGCCTCGCCGAGGCCGGCCGTGAAATTCTGTGAAAAGAACGTGAAATATTCACGAAAGGCCGTGAGAAAACCGTGAAAAATGTGATTTCACGCACAGCACTTTTCCACGTGCCTCGGATGCGAGTTCACGCGAAATCACGTTTTCTCACGTTGCTTATGGTTGCCAGAGCTGATGAATGTGAATTTTGATGTGTTATTTCACGTTTCTTCACGCTTTTGGGCCCTCAGATCTGTTTAGGAGTCTTAGTACGTGTGCTGGAGCTATGGGTAAGAAGAAGGAGGAAGAGAAGCCGCAAGTGGCCGATGTCATGGCTATGCTTAAAGCAAAGGGATTGCTTAATCGTGCTCCAGAGGCCGAAGCTGCAGCTGCTGTCGAGGAGCCTTCTAAGAAGTCTAAAGCAGCCAAAGCCAAAGCCAAAGCCAAAGCCAAGGCGAAACCGGAGGTGCAAGCAGAGCCTACGGTTGAGAGCCGGGTCCGGATTTCGGGCAAGCGCAAACTCGAAGAAGCTGCCGCTGAAGCCACGAAGCCCAAGCAGAAGAGGGTAAGTGAACCCCAGAATCCAGAGGATGCCCAGAAGATACCCGAGGATCAAGCCCAGAAGAAGAAACCCAAGGATCAGTCCCAGAAACCCAAGGATCAGTCCCAGAAGAAAGGCAAGGATCAGTCCCAGAAACACCAGGATCAGTCCCACAAGAAAGGCAAGGATCAGTCCCAGAAACACCAGGATCAGTCGACCCAGAAGAATCCCGAGGATCAGCCCCAGAAGAATCCCAAGGATCAGCCCCAGAAGAAACCCAAGGATCAGTCGACCCAGAAGAAACCCACGAAGGTGAAGGAGCCAGCTGCTGCCGAGGCCGATGCCGACGAGGGATCCGAGTCGTCGTCGGAGGGTCCTTTTGTGGAGTGGCCACCCGAGAAGCCCATCGGGCCGTTCTTGGAGGTGGGGCTTGATGTGATGGTGGATTGGGCAAACTTGGACAACGTCTGGCAGGCTTGCAAGGAGTCAGAGAAAGACTTCTACAAAAACCTGGAGTATGAGGAGCTCTTGCAGATGATGGAGACTGCTCTCGGTCCCAGGCCTAAGCACGTAGTGAAGCCTGTTGAGGTTGAAGATGATGGTGCAGTAGCTGCTGAGGAGAGGCACCCAGGCCCCGTGTTGGAGGACAGTTCTCTGAAGCAAACAGAAGAGCAAGAACAGTCTGAGGAAGAAGACGGCGACGATGACGAGCAAGACGACTTAATGGAGGAACAGGAGGAGGAACAGGAGGAGGAACAGGACGAGGAACAGGACGAGGAACAGGACGAGCTGCCGAAGCCTAAGCAAGCAAGCCCCGCGAAGGTTAACGACTGGAATGGTGTCCAAAGCCCTGCCACAAAGAATGAGACCACCCGGAGCCCCAAAGAGGCCCTTCAAATTCTTCAAAACAAGCTTTCTTATACACTAGAGTATATAATTATTGCTATCAAATCTTAATATTTGCAACTGAAATACTGAAGTAGTATGTCATGCTAGGTGATGCCAACTGACCTGAACAACAAGTTCAATGGTGTCCAACGGTCGAACTCCGAAAGGCCCCATGCTTGCAACCATCGGTCATTCTTTGCAATTATTTAGTCTAGGTGTGCATGGCATCTGCATATGATCAGCTGAGGTCGATGACAACCTTGATTCTGGGTGCCCAGCAGGCCAACGACCAGGCATACGCGCATCGTCCACCCTCGGAGCTTCATGATGCTCCCAAGCATAACGACCCGTCTGCATATGAAGGGTGTCAAGCATGCACTACAGAATTTTGTTCTATGTACCTCGTGTCATGTCTTTGCTGCCTGGCGATCTCAGCTGATCTCTAGACACGATGCAAGAGCTGGCTATCTGAGGTTGGTGAGTGCATCTCAAGTTGCAAGCGATAGCGACCTACGAAGTCTCGTGACAACGATGCAGTCAGAGATCACTAGGTTGAAGGCACTGCTGGATGCGAAGCCGGCCGCCTCGCCTGCCAAAGCCTCGGTCGAGCCCGAGGAGGGTGAGCCCCAGGGTGAGAAGGATGAAGAGGGTGAGGAGGATGGGGAGGAGTATGATGAAGGTAATGAGGAGGAGGAGGGTGAGGAGGATGAGGAGGAAGGGGTGTCAGACCACGAAACCCCGCCGCCCAAGCGTGCAAAGCCTGCTGATTCGGTTGCCAAAGCCAAGAATCCTAAGGGGCCCAACTCAAGCTCCCACCGTGCTGAATGGATGAAATTCACTCGCCGAATGGACAGCCAGGGCTCCGAATTCCCCGAAATGACCAAGATGTGGAATGGAACCAAAGAGGAAACCTGGCTACTCTAGTTTGGGGGTCCCGTACCCTAAACCCTAAACCCTAATTCTACATCACCCACGTGTGTGCATCCTAACCAAGGAACAGCATGCAGTGTTTGCACAGTGGCTGGAGAAGGAGATGAACATGGGCAACACCGAGGCCCAGCTGATCATTACCAAGTCGAAATCCGCAGAGGTGAAGAGCGGCTACGAGGAGCTCACCGTCAAGGAAATGGTGAGAAGAGGATTCAGTGCGCACCCTGTATGCATTATATTGCCCGCAACCAGAAACGCGACACTATATATGGTACTCCTCATCTAAGGACAAAGATCGAGAGCATCGTCAGAAAGGGTGGAACCCCTGACCCCGATGCCCCTCACTGCCTCGAATCCATCGTTTACCTTTGCCGGAAGAAGAGGGACGTGGACGAATCCGAGAAGATTTCCCAAACCGGAGAAGTGAAAGGAAAAATCAAGGCCAGTGCCAAGGCCGTGGCCCTTCTGATGCATCTGACTGGAATGCCGGCTCCATCGGGAGCGGCCTCGGGCAGCACCGAAGCTGTTTTGCAGATTGCTGCGAATGTTTTCGCTGCGGGCACCGAGTCAGCATTTAAGTGGCCTAGAGGTTTTAATTGCACGCCGGTTTTTGTGTTGCTCTGTGCTGCACTTAGGCGAAGCTGGCGCCGCCCCGAAGAAGCTCCCGAAGGCCAAGGCGAAATCCAAGGGAAAAGCTGCTCTCCAAGCCCCCAAGACAATCAAAGACCGTTTGGAGGATTGCCGTGGCTCGTCTTAATCCCAAAGCCCCCGAACTAAAACAAAAACAATGAACCTTATCCGAACTAAGGCAAAGAGCTCAAGAAGGAGTACAATGCGGCCAACATATGCTACGACCTGCCGAAAACCAACAAGTTGCGAACGGAAATGGAAAAGCATAAGGGCGACCTGGAAAACCAGATGGATCTGCTACTTGCCTAAATACCCAACCCCTGATCCACGCTAAGCTTTCATATCTAGTATAATTTATATACTAGTGGGATCCCATCTGAGGATGAAAGAATTGGATGATGATGGTGCCGAGGATTTCTTGGACGACTGCAAAGCAATGGCTGCCTGATTGCAATCTAAATACTATGTACTATAACTCCCAGACCAAACCCGAAACCCTCCTGTCCACTGAGGTTGAAAAAGCCCGAATGACAAGAGCACAGGTTCGTGCTGTGGTGGCTGAGCTCCAGCGCAAGGAGGCTGCTGAGACGAAGAGTTGAAACAGTCCTGTGCGGGAGGACTGTGGGGGCTACGGGGCTAGGGCACACCACCTCTACAACGAAGGTTACATATGCTATATATATTCTAGTATATATACATATATACTAGATGGTTGGTTATAGTCCAAGAATAGCTCGACCCAAAAAATGATATTAGCCCCTCGGCCCTTTAACAACTTTGTTGTGGAGGATAGCCGGTGCCCTAGATGATGAAATCGTCAGAGCTTTTGAGAAGCAGGGGTGATGGTACCTCAATGCGTGCCTTAGCACTCCCCTGCTCGGCCAATCGCTACGATCTGACCATGCTGGCTATAGCCGTGTGCTGTGTGCTCGATGCCGCAAGATCGTGACCAAAAGACTGCACGATTGCATTGCACTGTCAATCTGTACCACTAGCTGCATCATTAGGCTGAACCCACTTTGGACCCACGCAGGTTCGACGACGTCTATCCTACGAGATGAACTTGATCAGGTGTCTCTCGGCTCTATATTATTCGATCGGCAATGACTTAAGCTACGATTGTCGTGCATGATGAATCTACAGCCGACTGTCTTTCGCAACTTGAGGCTAGCCAAAACCATTGGCCGTGGGTATTCATCAGTCAAGCATGCTGCAGAGCTTGCAAGGCCACTGGACAGCAACCTGTTGACGTCGATGCATGGCTTAAACTTAGACTTACTCTTATCTTATTGTCCCACCCGAGCACCTCCAAGTAGATAAATGCCGCAACTCGGCTTGTCGAACCTAGGAGCAGGGAGCAAGGACTTCATCAAAGAGCTGTTAAACAGGGGCTGGCTTTGAAGTGCGAGGTTTCTTCTGTTTCTCTGCCAATGCTGGATGATGATCACAATGTTGTCTGGCGAAACTGGCCGATGATTTTGCCACACGATTTCGAGCTTAGGCTGCATCTAGCTAGCTAGGGTTTGCTACTTCTGATGCTAGTACACAGCCGATCGAGGTTGGTGCGATGGCCCGTGCCGGTCATCTTGATATGCTGGTCGCTGACTGGGATATGGTTCCCGGCTACTGGAGAAACTTTATTCGCGAGAACCCCGGCCATCCCGCAATGGATAAGATGAACACCTCCATCCCATGCACACTCTACTGCTTCTAGTCGTATGAAATTAAGCACACTTGTTGTTCAGGTTTTGGGCTTATTCGGGCGTAGGGACTTAGGTTTGGCTTTTTGTTTTAATAGAACGACTCTCTAGTTGGTTTTTGGGGATTTTGGTGCACAGGTGATGAAGCCACTGCTGTGAACGAGCAATGGATGTTTCTTATGTTTACGAGTGATCTGTGCCCTTCGCCGGGAAACTCTGCTTCCTCGCGATTCCTGTGTGCTATCATACCGGCACAAAGGTATGTGTTGACGTGTGACAAAACAAACCTAACTCTGCAAGCAGCCTGCTGGGAGATTACGCAAAGCTTCAATAAGCTCTCCAACGATGGTTTGCAGTTGTACGACTTGCCTTCAATGGGAGGACAACCTGTGCCCTGATTGCCATTATATACTTTGGGTAGAATATACTATTGGGCTTGGGGTAACGTACTCAAATCTACTCCATTCACAAAGTATCCCAGGTGGCCCGGCTATATGCCTTCGTGACTGGCTTTCGCGGGGACTGGAAAGCACTTCGACAAGCTTTCAACTTCAATCGGTATGCCGACCGCGACAAGGCAGGGGGGTTAAAGTAAAAACGCAAGCAGTTAGCTTCGATCATACAATTTAAGGACAGCGATTTAGGAGAACCCAGTGCAGCTCTAAGTTGACCATCAAAATTAGATTTGCCCCGCTCCTCAACTGTGTGCTGCAATCCCCCTCAAGATATGCTGGATGTGCAACGCGACCAAGGGCGGGGAGGATGAGACTTATGTGTTTACAAACATACGTACTGCACCCTACATGCAAACACTGTTCGCAGAAGAGCCCTGGATCCTTCGACCAGCTTATCACAGTTTGTCGGGTTTTCGTCTACAGCAAATTTTTCCTGACATTCTGCACGCCTATCACCTGGGCTGTGGGAGAGATCTCTTGGGGTCAGCCTTGATGGAAATGGTGAAGGCCGGTTTTTTTGGTGTGGGAACCATCGAGCATTCACTGGCTGAAGCTACACGTCGGCTTAAGCTGTATGCCAAACAGAAGAAGCTGAACCTTCGCTTGAAAAAGCTGACGAAGTCGAAACTTAACTGGTCAGCTAAGAAGTACCCAGAGCTGAACCGTGGTTGCAATTCTATTCGAAATTTATAAGCTTACTTTTATAACTAATTAAGTAGATATACAGATATCCAGTACGTACGTACACCCCGCCCCAGGAAAAGTTCTGGCTTTGACACCTACATCGTGCAGCAATGGGTGCTGCATGAAATCAGTTCCGTTGCAGACTCGGGTTTGGATGGAAACTTGGTTCTGGCTCTTTGGGCCAGCAATCATTGCATTTCACTGTGGTCGAATAATGGAACCCGTTGGCTGAGTGACGATGAGAAGCGGAATGTCCGCGAAGCTGGGGTCCTGTACTTGAGATCCTATATATCTTTGGCCGAGAAGGCCATTGAAGAGCAGAGACGATTGTACCGCATACGCCCAAAGCTCCACTTGTTGCACCACCTGTTTATAAAAGATGGCTACGCAAACCCCCACTGCTACGCGACGTGGATGGACGAGGATGCCCTTAAGCATCTTATGCGAACTTTGAAATGTACAGACAAAAGGACGGCCGAGGAACGTTTGCTACAAAGGTGGCTTTTAGCGCTACAGTCAAGCTTCGAGGCTGTCCGCACGTGACAAAATGAGGTCCCGGCCCCAGGGCCGACGATCGTCGATGATCACATAGGCGATCGAGGGTTGTTGGGTTAAGGTTCCCGGGGTTGTACGGTTTAGGTTTAGGGTTTAGGGTTATTTAAGGTTTAGGGTTTAGCGCTGACGCCTGAACGGAACTTTCAGATTCGATTTCCGACACAATGCTCAAGTTCACCAGAACCAAACCGCAAAACCTAAACACTAACCCCCAACTCCCAACTTTACTGGCCTTGAGCCCCAAACCCGAACCCGATCAACCTCCGAGCCCAAACCCCAAGCCAAATCAATTAAGCTTCAGCTTTCAGGGAGTCCAGGGTTTTCTCGAGTGTGTCTGCGTGTGTACACTTAAAAATGATTAGATGCTATCGCAACAGTTATGTTCGATACTCAGATGTATGTATGTATATAGTATGCATATGTACGTACGTATGTATGTGTACGTATGTACGTACGTACGTACGTACGTGCGTAGGTATGTATATGTATGTATGTATGTATGTATGCATGCATGTATGTATGTATGTATGTATGTCGTATGTACCAATTTAATATAAGGAACGATCGTACATAGATGGGGAGTAACAAGACCTTAAAGACCCTAAATCCTTAACCCTGCCCAGGTGTACGGCTCAAGGTTTCCGCTCTGATGCCCATGATGCTATTTATGTGGCTCAAGCGTTTTTGATGCTCTTGATGCTCACGGCTCAAAGGCTGCGTGTGGCTCAAGCGTTTGTGATGCTCTTGATGCGTTCTCAAAAGTTTTTGATGCTATGATGCTTACGACTCGAAGGTTTTGTGTGGCTCAACCGTTTGTGCTCAAGATGTGTAGGATGGTCAAGTTCGACTAAGTCCCAAAAACATCTGGCCATGAAAAGTTCGACTGGCCATGTGTGGGTTTTTTCGTGTACGCTCCTGGTATGGCCACCAGAATTGTGGTCAAACGGTCTCCCAGGCCCGGGGCGCCCGCGGAGCGGTGCTGCACTCGCCTTCGCAGCGCTTTGGACTATGATTTCTTGGCTAACCCCAGGGGAATGCTTGAGAGATCATGCGTTCCACATCATGGAAGATGTGGGAGGGATGATCCGAATGGCTGAGTCCCTGCCGACGGACGAGTACTACTCGTTGCTCCGAGCGGACATGGGAGCGAAGCACCCCAAGGTCGACCCTCGCCTGTTGGATCACTTGGAAACCCTGGAAGCTTTCTTGGATACGTCCATAATGGCCGGCGTGAGCTTTGGGACGGAGAAGGCTAAGATAGCAGTGACCGAAGGAGAACTGCTGGGTCACGTGGTCGGCAGGCGAGGTGCGTCGGTTCAGAAAGAGAAGACGCACGCGATAGTGAGGTTTCCGCCGTTGAAAGAAAAGGTGCAGGTGCAGCAGTTCCTTGGCTGTACCAACTTTCTGCGGTACTACCTCCAGCCCCAATACGCGCATTGCGCAAAGATTCTTGGCGACTACGTCAAAGGGAAGGAATTCCCTGAGGCGGGCTTGGGGCCTGGAGAGTCGTTGGGAGATCTTGCTGTGCGCGCTATCAAATTGATGGCGAAGCGCACAATAGAACTGTCTGTGGTAGATGAGATCGCCGCGATCTGTGGGCAGCGACCGCTGGAACAGATCGCAGACAGTTCTGGATACGCTGTTGGTGGAGTGGCAGTGCAGATGCGTGAAGACCTGTGGATTTAACGTATTGTGCACGCATTCAAAGGGGTTAACCCCCCCACAACAAGCGTGGGCACCATTGAGCTTGGAAACGTATGCTCAATTGGAGGTCCGTCGGGCGGTGAAAGGGATGCTAGGCCCCCTGAGGTGTATCATGTGGACCGACCACAGTAACCTTACTCGCCTTCAAACTAGCGAAGAGATCCAGCCGAAACACTTGAGATGGCTGTCGGAGCTCTTGGCTGACGGCTCGACCTTGAGGAGCTTGAGCGGAAGGTCGGCCCGGCTCGCGGATGG